AAGCATCTTGTCATCTTTGTTTGTGTGTGGGTTGTATTGGAAGTAGTGTCTGTTTATCTCACCAACTGGGTTTATCGTTCTACATTCCTTAAACAATTCCATGTCAATCTCATTGTAGTATGACTTATGTAGTGGATTAAACAAAGACTTATTAAATACATACATTGCCTTAGACATATTGTTGTAAATCTGCTCAGTTCTCACTGATATAGTTCCGTCATGGAGTTGTTTACTAGGTTCTGGGTCTTAACTTTGTATTTGATGACATTCTTTTTTTATCCTGAATTTAAAATTCAGTTCCGATACTATACCTGCACTGAATTTAACTTGCGGTTCGTATCCTGCCTTTTTGCTTTCATAAAAGAGCCCGGCAAGGTCATGACCATCATATATCAATGTATACTCAGCATGTTCGTTATATTTCTTTATGTCGTTAAGTGACTGTATCATTTTACATTGAACGGGTTCGTCCTTCTCATTCAGGTGATAATCTGGTGAAGCCTTCACTGAAATATCATACCCAGAGTTTCTTGGTAGCATCTGCCTTAATACATTCAAATTATCGGTTACTGTGTATATATGGTTGTGCTTCACAATGGCATACAATGTGGGGATATGATGATCCCGCTTGGGTGGATCATATTGAAAAATCAGTCTCTCAAAAGCATTGTATATTCTGACTTGGATCCTGTAGTGCTCAAACACTTTAACCATTTCCTTTATTGATGCACCTGATGTTTTAAAATCCTCTTCTGACTTACCTATCAGGGTCAACATGCTCTGTCTGGTTAGTCTGTTCTTTTCTCTGCGCTTTTCTCCCATAAGTGTGTCCTTATAGTAATCGGTTATGGTGTTCAACCAACACTGGTTTTCTTGATAATGGTTTACTTTGATTGCTTCCTTTAGTATTTCGTATTCTGGGTTTAATGGAGTTTGTATGTATCTGTGGTCCACTGGAATAAAATCAGTGTCACCATCTACTCTGTCTACATCCTTAACTTTGATGCACACTATATAAGAATGGACGAAGCGAAGGGTTTCCTCCATATCTGGGTCAGACATTATTGTCTTCATCAGTTTCTTGAAAACATACCTGTCTTTGGTCTCGTATTGAAACACACGTCTGCCCGATAAGTCTTCTATATAGTCTGTTGTTTGTATAGTTGCTCTCTTAGTCTCATACCAGATCGGGATTAGGGGTCTACCCTTGCTGTCTTTGAAGGATGCTTTGATGGTATCCTTGGGGAGTTTAAATTTGAAGAACATAAGGTCTACAGAATATGCATGTGTTTTTTTGGATTGTTCTGCTCTCACCCTCTTCTGTATTCGCTGAACTGCGGTCTTCTGTGTTAGTCGTCTGCGGATTTCTGTGAGTTTGTTGTCACGCTTTGCTGTTCGCATTCGTTCTCCTAGTGGTTTCTTTTCCTTGTGTTTTTCGTATACCTTGTTGTATTGGTCACTTGCCTTTTGCATTTGTTGGTCTGTCTTGGCATTGATAAAGTTCCTTACTAGTTTGTCTGCTGTTGTGAACTGCGCTATTTTTCTGTCATCGTATAAGCCGATGATATTTTTGATTTTAGTTTTGGTTGCTCTGTTAAGTCTGCCTTGATAAAAATCATACACTGTCTCTAATGCTTTTACACCGCGTTGGATGGTCTTACTCATGTCAATATAATTGGATTATAAAATAATTTTATATTTAAATGTTTGTCTGAAGATAAGTGTTTTAAAACTAAATATTTTTTGGAAAATTCTGTTCAGAAAATTCACTTAAAGAAATATTATAATACATAGTATAGTAATATGTCTATGAAAACCCCAGAGGATATGACCATGGAAGAGATAAGAGAACAGTTGGCAATTTACAACCGACTGTATTACTACAAGCGAAGACAAGAGGAAGGATATATGCAGAAAAAACGCGATTCTGCCTTGAAGTGCATTCAAAAGAAGAAGTTAAAGCAATATCTAAAAGACAACAATATCAATACCACAATAGAAGATTTAACCGAAGAGCAACTGGCAGAATTCAACAGCAGTCAGAATAAGAAAGGACCGAAGTATGATATGAATAATGTTAAAGTTGTGATGCCCATGAAAACAGAAGAATGCTGATTTAATTTTAGAAATAAGACTAAATCAATATTTTCGTATGATATTTATATGAGTAAGCAAGAGATTATTAGTAATGTGTATTACGATCGCGCGGGATATGGGAGCAGACAGAGGACCTTAAAGGAAGCACGAGAGAAAGATAAAAGTATAACTATTGACGATGTCAATGAGTTTTTCAAGAAGAACGTGGAGGCGAAAAGAAAACCTGTAGGACAGAACAGTTTTGTAGCACCGCACTCAGCATACGAGTATCAAATGGATTTGTTTTTTATAAATGATCTGGAAGATCAAAAGTTTAAGGTTGGTATGATCATGATAGATGTCTTTGATAAGTTTATGCATGTGGTAGCAATAAGAGGCAAGAAGGAAGAATATCTGGCTTCAGGAATGATTGAGTGTCTGCATAGAATGGGAAAAAAGCCGAAAATTATATTTACCGACGATGAGGGCGCGCTGTCTAAAGAAGCTATTCAAAAATATCTAAAGGAACAGAAGATAGAGCACCACAGGACAAGGGCCCACGCAAATTTCACTGAGAGGGCGATCAGAACTTTCAAGGACATGTTATACAAAAGAGTTGAGGCTGACGAGAAAAAAGGGAAAAGCAATATTCAATGGACTGATTATATTCACGAAATATTGCTGACATATAACAACCAGATGATACATTGCGCCACAAAATTCAAACCGAAAGAGGCACGGAAACCAAGTAACGAATTAAGCGTCAGGTTGAATATTGCCAGTAGTGGTAAACGGAATAGGATATATCCGGATCTTGACAAGCGTGACGAAGTCAAGATATTTAGGAAGCGAAAACCGAATGAGAAGGAAAGGGTTGGAAATTGGAGTAAAAACGTATATACAGTTGAGAGAATAGAAAAAACTAAGTCAATGTCATTATTATGTAGAAGGTATGGACAGACCTTATCTAAGATTTGAATTATTGAAGGTTTAATATTCTTTAGAATAAACATTCTTCAGAAAGTATTTAAAGAAAAATGTCTAATTACATTATAATGGAAATGTTCACCGAAGAAGAACAGGAAGAAATCATTAATGAGTTCGTAAATGTTATTAAAATGAAAACATGTAAAAATGAAAAAGTGGCTATGTGTCGCAAGTGTAAGTTTACAGAAGAACATCTTAGTTTGTATAACAAGCCAATACCCGAAAGTGCTATTAAAACAATATGCACATTCAATTGACATGTGCAACACTAAAAACATTAAAAAGTCACGTTTACGGTTGTAGCATGAAGAAGTTTGAGAATACCATTGAAGCAATTGAAGATAAACATATGCATAAAATACAAGAACATGGAGAAAGTGCAAAAGAACAAGGAAACACAAGCATTTATTATTATGTGAATTTAAACCCATTCCCAACATACAAACAAGTTGTAAATTATATACTAAATGGTGACACTGGCGATTACAATCAGAAAAATCCATAATGAAATTAGGGACTGTTATAATTCACTATGGAATGGAAGCGATGGTATAGAAACATATTTTAACAAATTGCGGAATAAAGCAATAACAGAATACGACAACACATTCAAGAAACGATCGGATACTAAACAACGGTTTTTGATTATATAAACTCCCATATTGAACCAATATCCACTATTATAAAGAAGATATGTGACTACATTGAAAACAGACAAGAGCACAACAGTATTGAACATATAATGTATTCAAATAATACAGCATCAGTAGTAAAGCAAATGATGTCACGAGTTGAAGACAACGACGGATACTCATGGAACATGTTTCTGGATATGCGGTTTCCGTATTTACCAAAAGAAAAATGGTTGAAGACACAAAAAAGGCATTCCGAAAATCTCCGAAGATTGCCTAAAAATGGTTGAAGACACAAAAAAAGCATTCCGAAAATCTCGAAGATTGCCTAAAAACAAATGGCTTCGATTGAATAACAAAAGTGTGTTTTCATTTTGCTACTTAATACAAAATGAACCCGAAAAAAAACTACACCTGAGTTGTCAAACTTGATTTTGTGTGTGTGTGTGTGTTGTCTTGCGTTTGTTTGTGTTTTGTTGAGTGTTCGTATGTTTTATATGTATCAATATTTGTTTATATTTAACAAAAAAACCCGAAAATCCCTACACCATATATCTGAAACTAGATTTTGATGTTTACTTTTTGATGGATTTTGTTTTTGTTGTTTTTGGTATAGTTTTAAACATTAAACGTGTTTAAAATAACCAAGGCGCTGGTTGGTGTAGAGGTCGGTCAAGGTCTTCTCGGTGACATTGTAGCGCTCGAAGTTGCAGGTAGGTCCATTGATTCCTCGCGCGGAAGGGAGCGAGAGAGGAGTGAGGTTGAGGGGTAGGGTTTGGGATTGCTTCGACATGTGCATCTCGGCTTGTGTCGTTGTCGTTATCTTCATTACGTCGGGTTTGGTTTTGCGAAAGTGTGTGAAGTCTTGAAACTGAATGGGTTCTGATATTAGGCTGTACACGCTCCAAAACCCTGCAAAGGCTAACGCCTGGCTTGATCTATAGGGAATCACTTCCACCAGCAGTTTCTCGTACGCACTCGCTGCGCTGATTCCGCTAGCCAATTCAAAAAATGAGCGTAGGTACAGAGATGCTGCGAGTTGTCCCACAAACCATTCAGATATCACCACACTGCCAGGCTGTGCCCAGTAACCAGTCTCTGTGAGCAGGTGAAAGGGTCTAGTTGGATTATCCGGAATAACCTAGTCGGCATCACGGGCATAGCTTTGCCCAGAAAAATGGTCTCACAGCATCTCTTCCTGGAAATATTGTGGTCGTAGACTGAAGTGCCGCAAAGGACCCAGCATACTGCACGCACTGAGCCATGTTTGCTTAAATCGTAAATTTTCGAGACCTTATGGATTGATCAAATGTCGAGGTCAAGGTGTGAAAGCTGCTTCTCATGGTGATCACGGACACTAGTCTCATAGCGCTCTCTCTCCTGTTGTCCGGCCTTCTTGAACGCCTCCCTCTCGCCGGCTGGCAAGTCCTTTATGAACCAGTGGACATCGAAATACTTGACCTTGAGAAGTTTATCCAGTTCCTGGGACTTCTGAATGTACACGTAGCCACCGTGGGATATGTCGGACCCCCACGAGTTCTTCACCACCCAGCAAGTCTTCGACTCGGCTACGATCGCCATTGCATGCCCTTCCTCTTTGTTTGTGAATTTGTCGAGCGTGTCGTCCAACAGCTTCAAACCCTGGACAGACACAGGCTTGCCGGATGAAAGTAATATCCACTGGTGGTCCCTCATTCGAACTGTGATGATCACGACTCTTGGAAGCGGGTTGCCCTTCAAAGCCGCACTGACAGCCGAATGCTGGGTGAGTTCCGCATATCGGCAGTAATGCGGCTTCCCGCCATCACAGATCTGTTTGAGGACATCAGCCATACCCTGACCGCTTCTTCCAAACTTGTCCTGAAGCCAAGTTTCAATGGCACTGGACACTTGCTGCTGCCGGCCGTAGACCCTGGCATCAGCTGACTACAGGGCTGTAGCGAGAGCAAACGACCAACAAACGGGACCTTCCTGTCTGCGAGGCGGCTCCCGCACGGAGCCTACAATATCGTCTTGGTTCATGACTTCAAGCAAATCTAGCCAAAGAAGCTCATGGTCAGTCTCCAAAAGCGGGGCACTGACGCTGGGCAGCTGTATCGGCAAGGCTTCACAATTGCTCTGTGACTCCGGGGCACGCTTCGCGCAACGGTTGCCCATGCTGGCTACACGAAGGCTCTACACTGTCTCTATCAGCGTTCCCTGCAAATATTGAAACGAAATCGAGGAATGGGGAGGAAGCACAGAGGAGTGAATACCCTGCAAGAAGCAAAGGAAAAGCCTGTCCTGGTGGCGCGGATGTCGCTGAAGATGTGGCCGAAACCGCGTTCATTGCATCCTGCGCCCTGCGCCTCTTGATAAACCTAGAAAGTCCTAACCATCTTGCTTGTCTACGGACTAGTCACAGCGGCTAGTCATTCGATGTTCCTGCCTGGCTACAACCTTTAACCCTAAACCTAGCAAAATCTATGAGAGAACCTTTGCCCACTTTGGGATGATAATACCACCTTAGGGAATATGGATAGGGTAATTGGTTATTCCTATACTGGTCTTGGTAATGGGGAAGTAGTGGTAATATTTGCGGGATTGTAGTAGGGAGTATAGGAATATTCCTCTTATATGGATGAGGTAATCGGTTATTCCTATACTGGAAATGGTAATGGGGTAGTAGTGGTGATATAGTTGGTGAGGTGTAGGGGGGAGTATAGGAATAATCGTCTAATGGGTTGACTGGTGGTATTATTACCCAAAATGGGCAAGGGTTCTGCTAACTATAATTACATCTGGTTTGAACCTAGAGATAAACAGGGTAAGTAGTACAATTACATCAAGTCTTAACCTTATTTAGGGCACTCTTACAACCCCACGTAGAACTACCCATGCACCTTCAAGAAAAGCACCTTGACAGAAGCTTGTGGACAACAGGAAATGCTGGCAGCCTTTGCAAAGGTGGCACTTCCACCCTTTGTGAACGAGGTCTCAAGTGCCTCCAAGCTCGCCCTTCCACCCTGAACCCTAAACTCTAAACCCTAAATCCTAAACCCTAATAAACACTCGAAACTCAACCCGGCTTTGCAGAGGTGCACTTCCACCCTGAACTCTAAACCCTAAACCCAAAACCCCAAAACCCTAAACCCTGAACCCGACATACTCAAACCTCAACCCGGTTTGTGGAACAGCGAGTCCTGACATCGTTTCCCGCGCTGATGTCATGAAGTCGTTGTTGCCTTCCGGGGGCTCCATGCAGCTAACAACGGGTTTAGGGTTTAGGGTTTAGGGTTTAGGGTTTAGGGTTCTAACAACGACGATGGTCCCAAGCTGGGAGCCAGCCACTTTAAATGGAGCATGTCTGAAGAGCCTAGTGCATACTTGCCACATGCCGAGGATCTAGCGAGAGAAGTATATACATATCACATACCCCCATGTTCAATCAGCACACTTCATAGAAGGAGTGTAGGGTGACATATTGAATTTATTCAACAAGATATACACCATTGAACATTGAATTTCGGATGAACAACACAATGTGTACACATATATATATATATACATGTATGTGTACATATATATATAGGTATATCTGCATGTCTTACGTCATGTTGAAAGTGCTAAGATGCCAGAATACATACACTGAGAATCCATGATGACATATGGTGCATCAGGTAGGCTCCTTATTCAAGGGTTCTTGACCCTACTACAGAAGGCAATGTCCATGCTCGTGCTCGGGGCCTTCTTGATGGGTGCAGAGTTGGGGTCGTAAATCATGCCGTATATGATGTGCACACATAACTATATACGATAGAACAGGTAGAAATCAGCAGTATATACGATAGAACAGATAGAAATCAGCAGGAGCATTTAAGGCTTGCAATGTGCAGGGGTTTCCCAGATTAGGGCGCCCCTGCAAGCTCCCCATGAGGGTCTTGTGGGTGTGTGTTTTGGTATGGAGGTTGAGGTTGTGTAGGGTTAGGGTTTAGGGTTTAGGGTTTAGGGTTTAGGGGTTTAGGGGTTTAGGGGTTTAGGGGTTTAGGGGTTTAGGGGTTTAGGGGTTTAGGGGTTTAGGGGTTTAGGGGTTTAGGGGTTTAGGGGTTTAGGGGTTTAGGGGCTTCAATCAAAGGGTTGCCCTCCCTCCCTCTTTCCCGTGAAATCCGGAGTGCTTGGGGCTCCCTGCTGACGATTATGTCGGCTCCGGCCGCCTTCCTGGGTAGGGTTTAGGGGGCTTTAGGGTTTTAGGGTATATAGGCTTTAGGGTTTTGGGGTAATATAGGTTTTCGACCTTTAGAACGAGAACTGTTTGGCAGCTCTTGCCTTTCGAAAGCTCGAGATTCGGGGCTCGGAAGCAGCGCTTCAATGCGCGGGACGTGGTTGCCTTGTGCGCTGCACCCTAAATTTGCCTTGGAGCCCTTCTTCCTTTTGTATCCTTTTGTCATCTGCTACGATCCATTACGACGAATATGTCGCGATGACTATTCTTATCTCAGCTTTCCCAGAAGCCAAGAGTGGTCGCTACTTCCTCACTTGGACACGAGCCCTCTTAGGATCGTTACATAGTCCCTTAGATCCCTTCGTATGGGCCCTTAAAGGGAGATCCCCCTATATACCCTTATGTGACCCCTTATAAGCTTTATATACCCTATAAAACCCAAAGGCCCATACATCAGAACCCTTATCGAATGTAACGGACCATATTGAGGGGCTCATGTAACTAGCCTCAGAAACCTCACAGCTGGGTCCAAGTCAGTCCCTCTGCCAGCGTCACGATGTCCGGCGACAGTACCTTTTGGCTTCAAGGCTGCGGGCTGGCTTTGGGGGGCTTACAGGGTGGGGCCCCCTTACTATACTAACTGTAGTTAAGGGACTTATAACCTAACTTAGGGTCCTTATAACCCAATTTAGGGCCCCTATAACTCTACTTATAACTAGGGGGCCCCACCCTGTAGGGGCTTAGGAGCTTAGGGGATTTTGGGGCCGGTTTAGGGGCTGAGGGGTTTGGGTTTAGGGGTTTAGGGTTTAGGGTTTAGGGTTTAGGGTTTAGGGTTTAGGGTTTAGGGTTTAGGGTTTAGGGTGAGTTTAGTAGTTTAGGTCTTTGGGCTGCCGACTCCCAGTTCCCTGAGCGACGATGACTATGGAGCTTCATGGGTAGTTTATAAGAAGGGTTCTGCGCGGCGCAGAACGAATCTTGAGAAGGTATCTGAGAGGCTTGCTACAGAAATGGCTTGGGGGATTCGAAAATTCCTTTGCAAGAAAACCCTAAGCCCGAAAAGCTTCGGCTGGAAGGTTCAGGGTTTAGGGCTTCGGGAAAGCAAACCAATACTCTGGGACCCAATGGCGGTCCATGAACGCACCTACTACTTGCTGAAGAGCCCCTGAAAATGAAGAAATGATGTAGGGCTTAGGGTTTAGGGTTTAGGGTTTAGGGTTTAGGGTTTAGGGGTTAGGGGTGTAGGGTTTAGGGCTTCGGGTTTACCCCTATAGTGCCCCAACAATGGGAGAAGGACTTGTTTTTTTCTGGTTGAGGGGGGGGGGGGGGCGGGTTCTTGAAGCAACTCGTAGGCACGATCCGACTGTCGAGTCCCCGGCTCGGCTGGTTCCCCCGATGGTGTAGTAGGAGGCTTCCGTCCACGACTGCCGCAGCTGGGGGGGGGGGGTTAGGGGTTAGGGTTTAGGGTTTAGGGTTTGGGGTTTGGGGTTTGGGGTTTGGGGCTTGGGGTTTGGGGTTTGGGGTTTCGACTCTCGTACTCGCTGAAGAAGGCAAGGGTTGTGTCCGGACTCGTTGCTTCGCTCAGCTCTGTTCAATCATCCCAGGCACGCAGTCAATTACAATAACATAAGAACTACCCCATCCGCAGAGCCAAGCATCTCGACTAGATGAGGGTCATTTTGGACTCTTGCTTTCAGATTCCATCATCTAAGATGTACCTTCGTATTCGAAATTCGAACATGAGCCAATCAGAGCAACTGCACCTACACTATCTGTAAGATTGGATGAGAAGCGCGCAGGCAGCGCATCACGATAGAAGGCGCCAGCCCTTAAATGCAGGCAGAGTGAGGTGAACTACTTCTTGCGTATTCAGTCTTCGGGGGGATTGAACTCTTCGAAAGTTTTCAGTTTAGGGTTCAGGGTTCTTAAGCGAAAGAACCTCTTGTCTGCGCTTCAACGAAAAAGCAACTCTGGGCTGCGTAGCCGTATAGCTCGGAAGACGCGCAGGCGCTGGCAGTACGGGTGTCTGCGACGACCTCCGTGGCGTCATGCTTTGTGAGACATCTTCTTGGCCACCTAGTCCTCCACTGCGTCGTGAAGCTCGTGCAGCATGTCTTCCAGTTCGTCGACGGATTCCGACTGGACAAAGACAGCTCCAGGTCCACTTCTGTGGCCTGCCAGCACGGCTTGCAGTGCCCTCTGCCACAGCATCAAGGGAGGATAACCTACGAAAAAACAGGGTTTAGGGTTTAGGGTTTAGGGTTTAGGGTTTAGGGTTTAGGGTTTCTTAAAGCAGGGCTTGCAGTAGGGCTTAATTTTGGCTTCGGACTTGCAAGGTTGCACAACAGCACGCCTAGACTCAAGAGTAGCCTTGGAGTAAAAGGGTGCCAACGATGGGTCCTGGTCACACATACACACACTGTTCACTGCACCAGGCGATAATTCTGCCCGACCCCCACAGCTTAGGGTTTAGGGTTTAGGGTTTAGGTTTGAGAAAACTGCCAATCAGCAGGTTCGCGACATTGCGGAACGTGGGCCTTGTGGCATCAGCATCTGGATCTTTTGGGCATTCCCCACTTCACCCCAAAAATCCGTATTAGAGGAGACCCAAAACAGATCAATACCGCGAACTTCT